CTCTGTGAGTTCAAGGCCAGCCTGGTCTACATAGTAAGTTCCAGGACAGCTGGGGCTACAGGGACACCCTGTCTCAAAAAGAACAAAAGGAAAGAAAAAAGTTGAGCTTGGTGGTGTGTTTATGATCTCAGCCCCGAGGAAGTGGAGACAGAAGGATGCCTGGGGCTTTCTAGCCAGCCACCCTAGCCTAACTGACAAGCAGTACGGTGGCACACACCTTTGATCCCAACACTTGGTTACAGGGCAACCTGTTTCAAAAGTAAAAAAAAAACCCAAACAAAAAAGAGACCAGAGGTTGCCCTGTTATCTCCACATGCACAGTTGTACCCCGGTGCATTGACCCATGTGAACATGTACACACACATGCCTCCTCACACAAATAAAGACAGTTTGTTTATTTTTAAAAGCTCATTTCTTTCCCTACCTGTGCTGGAGACCAAGCTCAGATGTTTTTGTTGTTGTTCATGCTAGGCAAGTGTTATTCTGTAGGTTTTAAGTTACTTTTGAAACAGGGATTCAGTCTTTATATCATTATCAGGAATAGACAGTCCCTTCTGCTTCACAGGGACTCCATGTAATTTTGGAAGTAAACTGACATTGGCAAAAGATTAAAAGGATAGTAACTACGGTGTTAAGCAGATAGAGTCCAAACTACGATGTTAGCAAATAGACCCCTTAGCTTCAGTCTCTACTTGGCTAATTATAGGCAGACTCTGACTCATGCTTGAATAGTCTAGTTAATTCCATTTTGTCATGCTCCTGCTTTGAAATGTCATATTGTACATATATGTACATTGTATGTACATGATGAAAAGGTTAGTTCTTTTTTTTTTGTTTTTGTTTTTGTTTTTTGACGGCGGGCGTCTTAAGTAACTCCCTCACTATGTAGCTTAGAATGATTTTGAGTCCTTGGTCCTTTTCCACTACTTCCCAAGTTCTAGGATTATAGGCATGCCACAATTGTGCTTGGCTGATAGGGTTAGTTTTAATTGATGGCTTGGAAGAACCTAATAGTTTTCCACTATGCCTAGTTCCTGTCTGGTTTTCTTTATCTGTTTTACTGTAACTGATTATTTGTGTTATCTTTAGTTGCTGTTGATTTTTTATTTGTTTGTTTTGGGACTGGGTCTCAAGTAGCACAAGTTGGCTTCAAACTCTCTGTAGCTGAGGATGACCTTGAGCTTCTGTTCCTCCTCCCTCTACCTCTCAAGTGCTCTGATTATAGGTGTGTACCATGATGCAGTTTATGTAGTGCTGGGGATTAAATCTTTGGATTTGTGCATAGTAGGCAAGCATTCTACCAACTGAGCTTCCCAAGCCTGAAGATTGCTTTTTTAAAAATAAGGCTGGAGAGTTGGCTCAGAGTACTGACTGCTCTTGCAGAGGACCCGGGTTCAATTCCCAGCACCCACATGGTGGCTACAAATCATCCTTAACTCCAGTTCCAGGGGAATCCGAAGCCCTCTTCTGACCTCCGCGGCATTGCCCAACACAGGTGCACTCACATGCATACAGGCAATACACTCATACACATAAAATAAAAATAATAGTAAATTTTTTAAAAAATTAAAAAAAAATATTTATTGTTATTTATGTATATGTGTGTCCCTGAGTGAGTTTATGTGCATCACATGTTGTAGATGCCGATGGAGGCGAGAGGGCATGGGATCCTCTGGGACTAGGTTACAAGGAGGATCTAATGAGCCATCTAATGTAGGTGTTGGTAACCAAACATGGGTCCTCTGCAACTTTGCAAGAGAAGCAAGTGTTCTTAACTGCTAAGCCATTTCTTCAGTCCCCTGAAGATTGTTTATTGGTAAACACTTGTAATCAAATTTTGTGATTTTTTTTTTTTTTTTGGTAGTCTATTAGAACCATACTGGGTCACATTGCGTTTTATGAGTTTTGGGCTTTTATCTTAGAAAAATGTTTGAAAGAGTAAAATATCACTCATGATATGAAGTCACATTTATGATTGCCTGCATTGTCATAGTGATGAAACTATCAGACACATGAACCAAGATATGTAAATGCATTACTGGTCTCCTAGGAAGTTTCCCACATATTCAGATTTATTTTTATTTATTTTTGTTTTAGTTTCTAGTTTATTAATTGTTCTCTATTTGATGATTTCTAAATTAAGTTCTTTGTCTTTCAGGCTGGCATGGCTTTGTATAAGATTGTTCCCAAAAACCCTTACTACTTTTGGTCTGTAATGAGCCTAATTATGCAAGTGAGTATGCCATTCAGGATGGGATTGAAGTTTGACTTTAACATCATTGTCTGTAATATGTCTTTGAACTTAGTTGGTATGTTACAATGTCAAGGAAGACTTTGTAAATTATCAGTTGACTCTTCAAGTTGGGAGTACCTGGTAACCTTTATTTTTTTCTTTGGAGTTTTGAGACGGTATCTCTATGTAGCCCAAGCTGGCCTTGAACTTGCTGTATAACTGAGGCTGACGTCAAATTTCAAATCCTACTGCCTCAGCCTCTTGAGTGCTGGCTACTTAGTGTTCTTTCCAAGTTATTCTATTGGTTCATTTATATGCATGGATTGCATTTCCCCTGATCTTCAGTCCATTGCTGGGCTGTCTAATCAAGCATGAGCCTCACAGTATTTGATAATTCAACCTGATGTTTTTAAGGCAGTGTGTAGGTCATTGAACAGTCTTTGAATTGGTTCTCTTTCCTTTGCATTCTTCTGTCCCTCTGCTTCTTTCTTCCTCTTTCTTCCTTTCTCTTTCTCTCTGTCTCCCTCACTTCCCCTCCCTCCCTCTCTTCTTCCCTTCTTGACAAGGTCTCTCAAGTAGCCCAGAGTGGCCTCCAATTCAGTATGTAGCTGAGGATTGCCTTGAACTTCTGATCCTCTTGCTTGTACCTCCTGAGTGTTGGGATTATAGATGTACACCACCATGTTCAGCTTAAATTTTTCTTTCTGAGCCTCAGTTTACTCTTTTGCAGAGTGGAAATGCTTTATCTACCAGAACTACTGTAAAACCCAAAATGAAATTGTGTGGGAGTACATGGATAGTAAGAATCAAATATAGTGATAAAGAAGAAACATTCTAAACTGGGCATGGTGGTAACCACCTGGAGTTCCAGTACCTGGCAGGAGGATTTTGAGTTTGAGGCCAACCTTGGCCAAGTACAGAGTAAGACCATCTCAAAAGATGAAAAGCCAATTAACTAAACATTCTGAGGTCAGGTCTACCTTCAAATATGTGTGGCTTTTCCACAGGCTTAGGAGAGCTATTGGGGGAATCTCTTCCCTTAGTTTTGGTGGTAACCACCTGGAGTTCCAGTACCTGGCAGGAGGATTTTGAGTTTGAGGCCAACCTTGGCCAAGTACAGAGTAAGACCATCTCAAAAGATGAAAAGCCAATTAACTAAACATTCTGAGGTCAGGTCTACCTTCAAATATGTGTGGCTTTTCCACAGGCTTAGGAGAGCTATTGGGGGAATCTCTTCCCTTAGTTTCTTTTTTTAGGTATCCCTGTAGTGGGGCCGGACTGGAACTCACTATCTAAACCAGGCTGGCCTTGATTGAAACCCACAGAGATCCTTCTGTCTCTGCCTCCTAAGTCCTGGGATTTTAATTTTTTTTTTTAAATGTATATAGGTTGTCTTCATGTGTGTACACCTGTATTGTCCAATGCCCATGGAGGTCAGAAGAAGGCATCAGAGCCAGGCGTGGTGGCGCAGGCCTTTAATCCCAGCATTTGGGAGGCAAAGACAGGCGGATCTTTGAGAGTTTCAGGCCAGCTAGGGCTATAGGGACACCCCGTCTCAAAAGACAAAAAAATGCATCAGATTCTCTGGAACTGGAGTTATGAGCAGTTGTTAGCCACCATGTGGGTGCTGGGAATTGAACTCAGGTCCTCTTCAAGAGCAGTCAGTTCTCTTAACCTCTGAGCCATCTCTCTACCCCTCCCCCCAATTTCTTTATCTATAAAATAAATATAATACTTAGCTTGAAAGGTTGTTTGTAAGAGTTAAGTGAGATCTGAGCTGAACCTCTAGTGGTATTCAAATTAACAGTATGCATGATTTCAGATGATCCATGTATGGCAGTTAATGAATAGTGAACTATCTAAATGAGGAATTGACACCAGGCATGGTGGTACATGCCTTAATCCTAGAGCTTTGAGGGAGAGACAGGCAGATCTCTGAGGCCCCAGGGCTGTATAATGAGACCATGTCTTTAAAAAAGACGAAAAAAAAAAAAAAAGCTGGGCTTGGTGATGTACACCTTTAATCCCAGCCAGGCACGGTGGTATATGTTTTTGTCTTTTGGTTTTTTTTTTTGGGCGGGGGGGGAGGGAAGAAGGTCTTTAATCCTAGAACTTTAAGGCAGAAGCAGGCAGATCTCTGTGAGATGGAGACCAGCCTGATACACATAGTGAGTTCCAGGCCAGCCAGGGTTACATAGACCCTTGTCAAAACAAAACAAAAACACCAAAACAAAAGAATAAAGAAAAGGAAGAATTGGCATTTCCTCTCTTGTAAATGCCATCATTTCCAAAAGATGTTTGAATAGCTTTCTTAGCACACTTGATAACCCCTGAGTGCATCTGAACAGTGTAGTATGCTCCCTCTTAAGTCCTTCTAGAGAGATGGAATAGCCTGTTGAAACATTAGCTCATCTTGTGGCTGCTCAGTATTTTAGAAATGCACAGGATGGTGACTCTTTAGGAAGGAAGGTTCTTATAAGGAAAGCTGCTTTTCAGTGAATCCATGTGGCAAATTGAGATTAGATATGATATATGATAAGTAGACTGGCAGTTAGGGGCCAGATATATGATAAGTAGATTGGCAGTCAGGGTCACAGTGGTTATGTGTATGGTGATGTGAACAAGGCAAGCAGGAAGGATTGCAGCAAGACACTTACCTTTCCTCCTGTAGTCCATATCGGCACGGGATGAAAACCTCTCGAAAACCATGTTTCTGCCCCTGGCTGAGAGGATGGTAGAGAAAATGGTGAAAGAGGACAAGATCGAAGCTGAAGCTGAAGTGAGTAGTTCCTGCTCTTCTGTTTCCCTGATGGTGGCTGTGCTGGGGTCTTGTCCTGGTGTGCACTTCATAGCCAGTGTCATCTGGGCCTTGGGTGAGCAGAGCCTCAGCAACTGAGGGCAGCCCTCTTCCACTCAGTGCAACAATCCTGGGCTGTCTCCAAAAGCACTCCCAGCTGAGATCTGTGTAGAAAGAAAACAGTCATCCAAGCCTGGCTGTCAGTTTCTTCTCATTTGCAGACAGGGCTCTTTTGAGTAATTTTTAAATAATGAATAAAAGACTATAAATGCCTGTATTCTTATTAGTGAAAAGTGACTTATTACTGAAAAGTTTCAATGGTTGCAATTATTTGTTTCTTCTATAAGGTTGAACTTTATTATATGATCCTGGAACGGTTGGGAAAGTACCAGGAAGCCTTGGATGTCATTAGAGGGAAATTAGGAGGTAATTTTTTTAAAGTTTTCTGAAATTTTTTTTAAAATTTAAACATAGAAATTGTTTATTGTGGAAAAATTCTCATATACAAATGTAAGGATGTGAAAAGGTCACATGACTGAGCACAGTTATATTCTTTCAGATTTTTCTGTATGTTGTACGTTTATTTTTAAAATTGAAAATAATTGATGGATTCAGAAGAGTCAAGGCATTTGAGAGATGATATTCCAGGTGGCTAACATCTGTCCCAAGGTTCTCATCCTGTAACTTGATCTTGTTTGTTTTGAGGCAATTTCTTATTCTGTAGTCCAGACTGACTAGGAATTCACTATGTAGCAGTCCTCCTGCCTCAGCCCCTTGAGTGTTGGGGTTGTGCGTATGAGCCATCATGCCTGGCAAACAATGTCTTTTTATTTTGTTTTTGGAAACAGGGTCTGGCTTTATCTCTCTAACTGGTCTGGAACTCACTGTGTGAATCAAGCCTGCCTCAAACTGGTCCCTGCTTCTGCTTTCTACATGCTGACATTTTAGGCATGCACCATCACACCCAGGCCCAGTCACTTGTTCTTTATGTCTTAAAAACGAGTCTTCCCCTTTCTTTTCTAAAAAAATATTGCATTCATTCATTCATTCAATTCATTCATTCGTTGTGTGTATGGGCACACATGACATGGTGCGCATGTTGAGGTCAGAGGACAACTTATAAGAGTTGGTTTTCTCTTTCCACCATTTTGGTCCCAGAGACTGAACTCAGGTCAGGCTTTGCTGCAAGTGCCCTTACCCTATTAGCCATTTTGTCCACCTGCCAACCCCCCACCCCCTTCTTTTTAAGGTGAGACAAGGTCACCACCTGTGACTCCTTCCTTGGCCTCTCCAGTTCTGGATTTTTCTGAGTATGTTGCACACCTTTGTGTTTTATATTTTCCTTTATGTTTTATGTTTGAGACACAGTCTTGCTATGGAGCCCTGGCTTGTCTGGAACTTCCAGTAATTCTTCTGTTTTTACCTTCTGAGTAGAAAGAAATGTCATGGCCTGACTCTTGCTTTTGTAAAGTAGCAAGGGAATTTTATTCAAAAACAAAATGATAGTACATATCAGGTATGTTGTGAGCAGCAGACTCCTTGAGTTGAGGATTCAAGGGCCTACTTAAAAAAAAGGGTGACTCTGCTTTTAAACTCTATTTTATGTGTATGTATTACATGTACATGTCTGTGTAAGTATATGTGCACATGTGTATGCAGGTGCATGTGTCTGTACATGCAAAGAGGCCAGAAGCAGGAGTTGAATCCATTGAAACTGGTGTTAATAAGTGTTTTGCAGGATGCCAGGGATATCATGTAGGTGCTAGGAACCAAATTCTGGGCCTCCTGATTTTGTAGCAAGTGATCTCAACCACTGAGCCATCGCTCTAGCTCTTATGTTTTGTTTTTTAATGTAACTTGTTTTCTAACTTTACCCTCCTTGTAACTAGGTACAATTCTGCCTTTTTGGTTTCATTCAGCTAGATTATATGCTTGCTGTTTTCTTAGCCTACTTAACTCTTCTAAGCTGTTTGGTAGTTACTGAATTTGTCTCTTCTACCTTTTTGTTTTCCACCTAAAATCTCACCATTTTCACCCCATTTCAGTTTAACCCTCTTCAGTATTTTAGAACTGCCTGAGCTAAATGTCCCAGTCCTCAGGCATTGGTTGGAGATTTATAAGTATGGCCCACACACTTGATCCTTACCCCAGCACAGTGTCTGTTCATCTTTGTATTTTACTGAGAAAGTGATTAGAAAAGTTGACTGTTCCTAGTGGGCTGTTTTCTTTTCAACAATTTTTTTTTTTTTTTTTTTTCGGAGATAGGGTTTCACTCTATAGCCCTCTGACTGGCCTGGAACTCACAGAGAACTGCTTGCCTCTGCCTCCTAAGTGCTGGGATTAGAGACATGTGCTACCACACCTGCTGCAAAATAATCTTTGTAAGATAGTAATTTGTTATTTTAAGAGTGGTACCATTTTTTGAGAGAATGAGTAATAAGAAAGTGAGCCATTTTCTAACGATTGGATTCTACTCTACCTTTGAGTAGAAATAAAATCAGCTCACCAACTTTTATAACTTTTTTAATTATAGAGAAGTTGACAAGTGAGATTCAGAGTCGGGAAAATAAATGCATGGCTATGTACAAGAAGCTGAGTAGGTGGCCTGAGTGCAATGCCCTTTCCCGACGCCTCTTGCTGAAAAAGTAAGTAGATGCTGTTCCTTGTGACCCGAGATCCTGAGCAGTGTCTAGGTTTCACAGCCACCACTGGCTCTGTGGGTATCTTTACAATTTCTAGGCAAGTTCTCTTATTAGTTGTTTCTTAGAAGTTTTTAAGTTTTCAGTGATCCTTCATCTCTCAGGAAGACAGTATAGTGGTACTTTGGCCAAAGTGGTGCTAAATTATGTATTGATGGTGAATGCCAAAAATGGTTATTTTGTCAAATTTGATACTGGCCTAACAGAGGCTTCCTTCTTTTTCTGTACCTCTTCTTATTTATGAAGAGCCTAGGCAGGGGGTTTTCTATTAAGAAAGGTAGTTTTCTAGAGCTGGCCATGCTTTTGAAGGAAAGAATGCTGTCTCACAGGGTGGCAGGGGATGGGGTGGACTACTCCTAGTACATATGGGAGTTAGGGCTTAGAGAGTCAAGTCAGTTGATATCATGGTTCCTAAAGCAGATTTGTCACAATGTGGGTTTAATCCTGTGTGCATCATTCAATCTGATTTTAGCTCAGATGACTGGCAGTTCTATCTGACTTATTTCGATTCTGTCTTTCGACTGATTGAAGAGTCCTGGACACCTCCTGCTGAAGGTGAACAGTAAGTCGTCTTTCTTTTCTTTCCTTTTTTCTGCCCCCCCCCTTTTTTTTCAAATCCAAACTGTTTCTACTAATTTTTTTTTTTTTTTTTTAAAGTAAGGACCAATGTATATGTTACTTTTTAAAAAGTTTCTTTTGGGAGCAGCTATATAAAGTGGCTCCTTGGGGTCTTTAGAACTATGTCCCAAATGGCACTTTCTGTGGTACTGGGAATTGAACCTAGGGTCCCACACATTCTAGGCAAGCCTGCTACTACTGAACTATATCCCCAGCACAATGATGCTGTTTTGTTTTTATAGTTTGATATATTTATTTATTTATTTTTATATTTTGTTTGTTTTTGAGACAGGGTCTCCCTATAGCCCCAGCTAATCCAGAACTCACTATGTACACCAGGCTGGCCTCAGTCTCACAGAGACCCACGTGCCTCTGCCTCCTGAGTGCTGGGATTAAAGGTGCGTGCCACCATGCCTGGCTTAAAATTTTTATTTTAAAAAAATTTAATTTTGTGTCCGTGTTTGTGGTTTTTTTGTATGCCACGTATGTGGGTGCCCACAGAGGCCAGAGAGGGCATTAGATCCCTTGGAGTTAGAGTTATAGGTAGTTGTGAGCCACTTGATAGGTGTGCTGGGAACCAAATTCATGTCCTTTGCAAAAGCGGCAAATGTTCTTAACCACTGAGCTGTTTCTCCAACCCTGTTTGGGTTTCTTGAGACAGTGTATAGCCCTGGCTGGCCTGGGGCTTGCTATGCAGACCAAGGTGTCCTTAAATGTTATAGGCATGCCCCAGCATGTCCAGATTACAATGTTACTTTTTAATGTGTTGTAACAAAAGGATTTTATTGTAAGCCAATTGAATTATCTTTCTTTTTTGTAATAATACATTCCTTTCAAAATAAGCCTTTTTTCCCTCAGTTTATTGTACATTAAAATCTTTGTGTGACACGTGGTACGTTAGTTCCCACTTGTTCTACCTGCCCCAAAATAAATCTCTATAGCAGTTTGGTGTCTTTCCCTTCACATTTATTTCTGCCCATATGCTAACGTAATTATTATCTAACATAATAATGGAATTGTATTAGACATAATAGTTGGTGTTTTTCTCCCTGAAATATGTTTGGCTAGCTTCCTATGTGGTGTATGTACATCTTTTTCATTCTTTTTAGTGGCTTAAGAGTTCTCTTTTTAGAAATGTACCAGAACTCATTTAATGCCTTCTATTGGTGGTAGTTGGGCCTTTGCCAAATTTCCCTGTCCCTCCTTTATCACAGGTAATACTTTAGAAATATAAATGGAGTCTATAAAAAAAATTTTAAGGGACTGGAGACATGGCTCAGCAGTTAAGAATGCTGATTGCTCTTGCAGAGGACCTGGGTTCAGTTCCTACCCAGCACCCACATGGTGGCTAACAACTATCCTTAACTCCAGTTCCAGGGGATATGACACCCTCTTCTGGCCTCCATGGGTATGGTATGCGGTGCACTAACATGCAGGCAAAACACTCATGCACATAAAGTAAAAATACATTTTTTAAAATTACAAAAAATTTAAAGCCTTTATGGTTTGTGGGTGCATGTGCATGTTTTCCACCACACACTTGTAGAGGTCAGAGGACAGCTTATGGAGTCAGTTCTATTCTTCCACTGTCTCTGTCTCTCTCTTTCTGGGTGCTAGAGATTAAATGCAGGGCTTTGAGCATACTAGGTGAGTGATCTACCTCTGACCCCTTAGCTGTTTTTTTTTTTAAAGGTAATTAAATTTTTTTTTATTTATTATGTATATGAGTGTAATGCCTGCATGTATATAAATGCACCTGTGTTGTACAGTGCCCACAGAGGTCAGAAGAGGGTGTTGGATCCCCTGGAACTGGCGTTAGGATGGCTGTTAGCTGCCGTGTGGGTACTGGGAATTGAACCCCGGTCTTCTACAAGAGCAACCAGTGCTCTTAACCACTGAGTCATCTCTCCAGCCCCCCGCCCTTTTTATTTTTTTAAAAAAGACGGGGTATACCTGTAGCCCCAGCTGGCCTCAGTGTCATAGCCCCACCTGCCTCTGCCTCTCAGTGCTGGAATTAAATGTGTGTGCCACCATACCCGGCTAGCCCCTGGCTTTTTGAGATAGGGTCTTAATCTGTAGCCAGTGCTGACTTTGAACCAGTCCTTTGTCCTCTGCCCATGGGTTGCAGGACTTATCTGTGCTGCTTCACTTTTCCATTTTTATTGTTTGGTAATTAGCAAAGTGTTTAAGATCATTTTCACCTTGTGGAAGCAAAGTAGAGGCAATAAAAATACCTTTCCCTTGTGTTTATTCCCAGCTCTTTGGAAGGAGAAGTACACTATTCCGCAGAAGAAGCTGTGAAGTTCATAGAGGATCGGATAACAGAAGAGTCTAAAAGTTCTCGCCATCTCAGGGGACCACACCTGGCCAAGCTGGAACTGATCAGGCGTTTAAGAAGTCAGGGCTGTAATGATGAGTACAAGCTGGGTAAGTGACCACCCCTGGAGAAAGCCTAAAGTGACAAGGTCATGTTTGGGTAGCAAACACGTTTATTGCCTGAAAATGAACACTAATGGATGATGCATTTACAAACTCTACCTTCAGTCCCATATTCAACTTTGCTCAGCATTAGCATCTCTATTTAGTTCATTGGAATCTTTACAGACCCAGTTGCAAAGAGAAGTTTCACACTGTTTTGAACATAAGCGCATGAACATTTTCTTTTTTTTTCTTTTTATTTTATGTATATGAGTGTATTGCCTGCATGTATGTGAGTGCACCTGTGTCATGCAGTGCCTAAGAGGTCAGAAGAGGGCTGTGGATTCCCCTGGAACTGGAGCTAAGGACGGTTTATAGCCACCATGTGGGTGCTGGGAATTGAACCCCGGTCTTCAGCGAGAGCAGTCAGTGCTCTTAACCACTGAGCCACCTCTCCAGCCCCTTACTTTGTTTTTAATTTGAGGAGAAATAAATTTAATTGGTAGCTGTCTGTTAATCTAGTTTAAATTTGCACAGTGAGTGACTTACTAGAGTAGGTTATTGGCCTGTGGCTCTTGTTCCCTTGTTCTTCTGTTAGGACTTCTGTCATAAGCACTACCTTTTTCATTTAGTTAGCATTTAATACTTGTTAAGTTGTTCAGGACCTTTTGTAGAGAGATGTATGTTTATATAAGAACTTTTAGCTATAAGGAAACCTTTTTGTTATTTAAATTTTAACTTACTGAGAAGCTTCATAATTAGGGATGATGGCACATATCTCATCCTAACTCTAGAAAGCCTGAGGCAGGAGGATTGCCCATGATCTCAAAGCCAGCCTGGGCTACATAGTGAGCCCTTGTCTTAAACAAAACAAAACAAAACAAAAACGGGGCTGGAGACATATGTAGCTCAGTGCTACAGTGTCTGCTTAGCATGCGTGAGTTCAATCCCCAGTGCTTAAAAAAAAATAAGGCCTGAAGCCGGGCATGGTGGCGCATGCATTTAATCCCAGCACTCGGGTGGCAGAGGAGGCGGATCTCTGTGAGTTAGAGGCCAGCCTGGTCTACAGAGCAAGTTCCAGGCAGCTGGAGCTACAGGGAGACCCTGTCTCAATAAGACCAAAAAAAAAGCCCTGAAAAAACAAAAAAAATACCACCCGAACCACACCCACCCAAACAAAATAAGCAAAAAACCCACTTTACATTTCCTAAGTATTTAAATGCACACATGCACACACACACAACATGCACACACACACACACACACACACACAAAATAAAAAAAGCAAAAATAAAAACGAAACAACCTTTACATTACATTCATCTCATTCCATCAGGTATTCAAGCAGAGGGGTTTTTTTTTGTTTGTTTGTTTGTTTGTTTTTTTAAGACAGGGTCTCCTGCTGGGCATGGTGGCGCACACCTTTAATCCCAGCACTTGGGAGGCAGAGGCAGGTGGATCTCTGAGTTCAAGGCCAGGCTGTCTCCATGGTGAATCCAGGACAGGTGGACTACAAGGAGACCCTGTCTCAAAAAGACAAAAAAAAAAAAGACAGGGTCTCCCAACTCACTATGTAGACCAGGCTGGCCAGACTCACAGAGTTCCTCCTGACTCTGCCTCCTGAGTGCTGGGATTAAAGGCATGCAGCACGCTCGACTTTTAAGCAGAGTTTTAATTTAAATGAAATAAATGCTTTTGGATTACTCTTCACATTTAATATAGAAATTGCTTTAGTTCACGAGTCACTTAATGATCCTCCCTTTCTTTTAGGTGACCCTGAAGAATTAATGTTCCAGTATTTTAAGAAGTTTGGGGATAAGCCATGTTGCTTCACAGACCTTAAGGTGTTTGTTGACCTCTTGCCTGCTACACAGTGTACAAAAGTAAGTATGTTTCAAAGTTCAGTTAATGACTGAATTTGTTGAAACTAGGTTAAGTTTGGGTTTTTAGTCTATTGGGGGGTAAAGGGTGAGCCGGAGATGGCATGGTAACTGCCCTGGCATCCTGAGTGCTGTGTGCTATCATGTTCTGTGAATCAATTCTAGATGCCATGGAGAACCAGCCATATTTTTGACTTCTCATCCAGCAGCATGGATTGGTTCAGATTTCTTACCTTTTTTTTAAGGAGATCTTCTGTAATCCCAGTTGGCCTTACACTCTGGATCCTTTTACCCCTACCCCTTGAATGCTAGGATTATAAGTATGAGCCATCATGCTTCACTAACTTTTTTTTTTTTTAATTATTATTTTTATTTTATGTGTATGTGTGTATTGCCTGCATGTAAGTAAGTGCCTCGAAGGTCAGAAGAGGCTGTCTGATCCCCTGGGACTGGAGTTAAGGACAGTTGTTAGCTGTTATGTGGGTGCTGGGATTCGAACCTGGGTCTTCTGCAAGAATAACCAGTGTTCTTAAACACTGAGCCATATCTCCAGCCCCAACTTTTTTATTTTTAATAATTTTCTTTTCTTTTTTTTTTTTTTAACTTTATGTGTATGAATGCTTGCCTGCATATATACATGTATACTGTGTGTGCCTGGTGCCCTTGGAAGCATGAAGAGGGTATTGAGTTCCTTGGAACTGGAGTCAAGAGTGTTGTGAGTTGCCATGTGGGTGCCGGGAACTGAACCCAGGTCCTCTGTAAGAGCAGCAAGTGCTCAAAATTACTGTACTCTCTCTCCAGCCCCCTTTGTTGTTTTTAGTGAATAATTTTTTTCTCATGGCTAAGCAGTCCAGAATCAAGCAACTTGTATGGCCAGTCTGTGGTTGAGTGCTCTCTTCATGGCTTACTGGAGAGAGTTGTCCATGAAAACTTCATAACCTGTACAAGTTTTTAGCCCTTGTTCCAGAGTGTCATTGGTAAGGGGCAGTTGGAGTGCTATCCATATTGGAAGAACAGTATGCCTGAGGTAGGAAATAAAAGCATGGATAAAGCCAGTAACTTTTATCCGCTTTACTCATAAATAACCCTGTAAAAAGATTGTAATGAAAGTTAGAAGCTGTATTAGTCACCTTTCTGTTGCCATGATAGAAACACCAGGACCAAAGGAACTTATAAAAGGAAGCATTTAGCTTACAGTCCCAAAGCAGAAAGAGTTTATCATAGCGAGGAGGCTTGAGGGCAGAGGTAGCTGGAGTAGGAACAGAAGGTCAGCACACACATCTTTAAGCAGGCACAGGAAGCAGAGTGACTGGAGATCTAGCAAGGCTTGAGAACTCTCTAAGCCCAATGACATGCTTCCTCCAACATGGCCACACCTTCTAAGACCTCCCACAACACCACCACCAACTGGGGACAAAAATGTTTGAATATTTGGAGCCTATGGGGGACGTTCTCATTCAAACCAGTACAGACGCCTTCTTGACAGAGAGCTGTCTGTTCTCCCACAAAGCTTTTTGTCTTTGTGAGGAATAGGTGGAGTAGATTAGGAGAGCAGCAGAATGCCTAGAGTATTGATTTGTTAACATGTCTTAATGCCACTGGAACTCAGGACTTCGGCAGGCTTGAGGTGCCCCATCTAGGGCACACAGGCAGTGGGGCCCTGTCTGGTAAGGAGGCCGTGGTCTCAGTGGGCTTCTGAAGTGACTATTTCCATTCATGTTGGTTTAGTTAAGCTGTTCTTGGGATGTTGTGCCAAAAAAATTCTTGGATAAATTGTACCATGCTCAGAAGAGTTCTGGGTTGTAGGAACATTTGAAAGCCCATGAGAGAAAAACAGTTGAGTGGAAAAGAAAAGTTTGGTCTGGGAAGGGCTGTAGTATGTCCTTTCACATATTTGAAAAGCTGTCTTGGAGACTGGAGAGATGTCTCAGCAGTTAAGAGCACTGGCTGTTCTTGCAGAAGACCCAGATTCAAGTCCCAGAACCATATGGTGGCTAACTACTGTCCATAACTCCAGTTTCAGGGGATCCATCGCCCTTTTCTGTCCTCTGTGGGCACTGCACGACATGGGTGCACACATACTCAGGCATAATACTTGCACACATAAAATAAAAATAAAGTTTAGGGGCTGGAGAGATGCCTCAGCGGTTAAGAACACTGACTGCTCTTGAAGAGGACTCGGGTTCGATTCCCACCACCCACATGGCAGCTATGAACTGTCCTTAACTCCAGTTCCAGGGGAATATGAAGCCCTCTTCTGATCTCTGCGGCATTGCATGACACGGGTGCACTCACATACATGCAGGCAATACACTCATATACATAAAATAAAAATAATAAAATATATTTTTTAAAAGGTGTGGTGGTACACGCCTTTAATCCCAGCACTCCGGAGGCAGAGACAGGCAGATCTCTGTGAGTTCAAGGCCAGTCTGGTCTACATAGTGACTTCCAGGACAGCTGGGGCTACAGGGAGACCCTATCTCAAAAAGACCAAAAAAAAAAAAAACCCAAAACCCATTTCTTTTTTGGTCTTTTTTGAGACAGGGTCTCTCTGTAGCCCCAGCTGACCTGGAACTTACTATGTAGACCAGGCTTGCCTCGAACTCACAGATAACTGCCTGCCTCTGCCTCCTGAGTGCTGGGATTAAAGGCCTGTGCCACCATGCCCCGCCATTTAAAAAAAAAATTTTAAAAGAGAAAAGCTATCTTGTAGAAGAAGGAGTAAGAACTTTTCACAGGAAATTTAGATTTTGTTTTGGTGAGAAAAAAGATCTTTTTAGTACTCAGAACTCTCTAAAAATACAGTGGGGTTTGCATTTCTGGAGAGAATCTAAGTAAAATCTAGATAACCAAGTGAGACAAACTGAATCCTTCAGTTCTTGTTGAGTATATAATATGCAGAGTCTCACAGGGAGCAACAGATCGTGTCCTGCAGTGTTTACCGTCCCGGAATCTGAAGCCTCAAATGGAGTCTGTTCTTGAGGAATGCTTATGCTTCCTTTAGCTGAATTTCATGAAGGTTGTTGCTGTGAATTTAGCATCAGTTACATTTTCTGTGCAGCTGTACTTAATTGTTTTGCCTAAAGAATCTTTGGTTATCTTGTGTGACCTCATATAGTAAGAGCTGTCTATTCATAGGTACCTACTAGATGCTGGCAGTGATACAATAGTCATTGTCCTGAAAAGTCCAAGATTAGAAACTGGTACAGTGAGGTTTGTAGTCTTATTTTGTGTATGGTTTAATTGAGAGGAATAATTTTGCTACAACTCTTTTTTGGAGAGGCTCATGTAGCCCAGACTGGCCTTGAACTCATTATGTAGCCAACAGTGACCTTGAACTTTTTTTTTTTTTGAGACACGATCTCCCTGTAGCCCCAGCTGGCCAAGATCCCACTATGTAGACCAAGATGGCCTCAGTCTCAGAGATCCATCTGCATCCACCTTCTGAGTGCTGGGATTACAGACATATTCCACCATTCCTGGTTTTTGTGGTGCTGGAGAATGAATGCAGGGCTTCTAAGTGTGACTAGAATCCTCAAGTGGCTCTCTCAGTATGATGTTTGAATCTTTTGTTTTCTTGCTTTGGGGTTTTTAACTTAGTAATACAATGATTCTGAATTTTTTGAAGAAGCTTTTTGTACAGCAGAATAGACTAAAGAATATATGTATTGTTTCATAATAAAATCTGTTTGGATGATTTTTCTTTAACACTCACTAAAGAAGGCATTACAGGTAAATATGCCAAGTACATAAAATGACTTTTGAGAATGGCAGAGCTCTTAAAAGGAACTCTTGAAGGCATGTTATCAAAACCATGGAGGCCAGTGCTGTGGTTGGTCACAAATAGCAGCCTTTCTCCGATCTTAATTAAGATTAGTGTATGATTGTATGTGGACAGATTGAAGCAGAATCGTTACAGATCTGGAACTGCATGATGAGGAAATGTAGTCATAGCCTTCATTACTGGTATTCTGCTGGGAAGTGTGTGGAGATTACCTACCTTTTTTGTAACTCTGTTCTTAGAGTTAGTATTTTTCTGTTATATTAACCCTCAGTCTGGCAAAACCATGAAAGGATTGAACTCCTTAGCATGATCTAAGACAGGAGGTTTTAGTTTACTCTACCTCCACATCTCTACCTTCGAAGCTCTTCCATGGAGTCTTTGCCATGATCCATTTGGGGGCTTGCACCAGGTATTCATCCTGAGCTCTATCCTTAGCCTTCTTTGATTTTTGAGACAGGATCTTACTAAGTTGTTCAGGCTGGCCTTGAACTCACCCTAGCACAGCCAGGCCCTAAACTTGGGCTCCCCCTACTTTAGCTTCTTGAGTAGCTCAGATTGCAGGCCTGTACCAGCAGACCTGGCTGATGACATTTCAGGGCAGTTCAGGAGTAGGAGGGGGACTGGGCTCTCATAGGATAAGTAATTTTGAGCTACACTTGCTGTCCTTCGAGTCTAGTGTGCCTAGTTTAGCTTCTTGGTGTAAAACCAGACTTCTCTTCAAACTAAAGAGATCAGTTTGTGAGCTAGGGAGGGGCTCAACCTCTTAGACTAAATTTAGCAAATTCTATTTTAGTCATATTGGTTTGCTATTTTTTTTCTTTTTTTGAGATAGGGTCTCCCTGTAGCCACAGTTGGCCTGGAACTCACTGTGTAGACTAGGCTGGCCTTGAACTCAGACCTGTCTGCTTCACCTCCCATGGACCTGATGGCACACACCTTTAATCTTAACACTTGGGAGGCAGAGGCAGGGGAATCTCTGAGTTTGAGGCCAGCCTGGTCTATATAGCAAGTTCTAGGGCAGGTCTCAAAAAGACCAAAAAAAATTTCATTTAAAAAACATTTATGTGTATGAATGTCTTGTCTGCATGTATGTAAGTGCACCCATGTCATGCAGTGCCCAAAGAGGCCAGAAAGGGGTGTCAGATCCCCTCAAACTGGAGTTACCACTGTGTTAGCTGCCATGTTGGTGCTGGAACTCGAGCCCAGGTTCTCTGGAAGAACAGCAAGTGTTCTTAACTGCTGAGCCCTCTCTTCAGCCCCAATTTCGTCCTATGTATGTATGTATGTATGTATGTATGTATATAATTACTGTCTTTTATTAGGATTAGAGGTTTGGGCAGGCCCTGCTTACAATCTTT